ATTTTCGCCTCCAAAACTGTAGGTTTATACTTTCTTGGCTTGCAAAATATTGTAAAATAATCCCCTTCATCTACTTCTCCCCAAAATATTGTAAAATAATCCCCTTCATCTCCTTCTCAATGAGTTTGAATCCTGATCCAGTTTAAGGGGGCAGGGTTGGTTGGTTGGTTGGTTGGTTGGTTGGTTGGTTGGTTGGTTGGTTGGTTGGTTGGTTGGAATGTCACTGCTGCTGAGTCATCATCATCATTAGGTTCTGTGCAAAGCACATTGGGTAGCAAGTGTTCTCCCACAAACTTGCTCGTTTGCAACATTTGGTTGGTTGGTTGGTTGGTTGGTTGAAATGTCACTGCTGCTGAGTCATCATCATCATTAGGTCCTGTGCAAAGCACTTGCTCGTTTGCAACATTATCAGCATCGTCCCATGAAACTTTAATGGTTTTGAGATCCTCCTTGACACCAGATTTTTGGAAGCCTATATTTTATGCCCCGTTCTGCTGAACGTCTACATTTTATGTCACATTCTGTGTGTGATTCTTTTCCCCACAGTGTTCTTGGGAGGGGTGCATGCGTTCCCACTCCCCAGTTTTCCTCACCATCGTACGGCAGCTATCTTGTACCACTCGGGAATAGTGGACAGAATATTGGCTTTGGGGTAGCTTTGGGGGGGAAACCCACCCTTTTGGGGGTGCTGACACCTCTCGGTCAATGCTACTTTTCCACTCGGAGTTTGAGAAAGTTGTAGTGGCTGGCTGGGGGATTCTGGCAGCTGTAGTCCCAAAAAAGAGTAGTTTCTCAAACTCTGAGTGGAGAAGTAGGAATGGCAGTCCATTTCCAAGCTCCGATAGTGACAGATCATGTCTTGTTCTGCTTGGAAATTCCCTTTGTTTCCAGGAAGTCATTGTGGGTGCAGAATCCTTGTTCTTACCTGAGGCGAGGTTTTTTCATCTCAGCTGGCCTGGTTTGGGCCTACTTTACAGGGGGGTTGTGAATGTCACTGATGTGCAAAGTGCTTTGAAACTGGCAATGCCCTATCTTGGAAGGCAGCCCTATGCTCTGTTCTCGCCCCCAAAGCCATGTTACGTGGGTCTTGGCTACCCTTATAATGTTCGAAGAGAGATCTGGTGAAAGAAAAGACCTTAAATCGTTTTAAGGAGAGGTACACCACCCACAAAACCTTGTGCCAAATCAAACTTGTGTGACATTTCTTTGCTACTGCAACCACAAAACCTTGTGCCAAATCAAACTTGTTAGTCTTCCAAGTGTGACATTTCTTTGCTACTGCAATGGTTTAGATCTCTGGCTGTGGAACCAGAGGTTGGAAGTTCGATCCCCCCCGCATGGGCCTCCTTCACAGGGGCTAGATTTGATGATCCATAAGGTCCCTTCTAGCTCTGAAGTTCTAAGATGCTGCTGCTGATTGTCTTGACCTTAAATCAGTGATTTTGAACTACAGTTCACAGGAGAGTTAAAAAAATAGCCCTGCTTCTTTATTCTTCCACCCCCACAACATTTTCCACTCCGTCTACCTCCAAAACAACAACATGTCATGCTTAAGTTATCCTAAACGTGAGAACGCTAGCAGCACCACAGAGGATTATGTGTACAAGGCGTATGTTTTGCGTAGCCCCGTCCAAAGCGAGAAACACATATACAAAGTGTATGTTTCCAGCAAATCTTTTACAGCCCATTGCTTATGTAATGGTGAACTTGGCTTGTGATGATGTGCGGCTGGGAGGACAGGCTGGCCGTTATTGGGATCCCGGTAGTTCATCGTACGATGAAAAGGAAATAAATGCCCTTTGTTTATGGAGAGACAGGATTCATTGGCTGCAATCCTATTGCGCAGCTACGTCCGCATAATGTGAAGGAGCAGATGCAGGAGAAGGCAGCCTGGCAGGGAGGAAGGAGAATCCGTGAAGCGTGTCCGCAGGTTGCGAAACTTGTAACCTTGGGCCTGCCACACGCTCTCAAGTCCTGGCAGGGAGGAAGGAGAATCCGTGAAGCTTGTCCGCAGGTTGCGAAACTCGCTAAGTAACCTTGGGCTGGCCACATGCTCTCAGTGTGAACGACTCCACAAAGTGGTTGTGAGGATCCGGTAGGGAAGAAGGGAGAGCTGTATGTACATTGCCTTGGGCTCACCGGAAAGGAGAAGCAAGCGATTGACATGACATGATCGGGGTTTTTAGAGGTGTGTGTCTCTGAGGTGGACAGATTTGGGGGGTTTTTTGGACTACAACTCCCAGAATTCTCCAGATAGCAGAGGCGTTCTGGGATTTGTAGTTCAGAGCCCCCCCGACACACCTCTCGTTCTTCTCTTGTCCCGTTTTCCTTTGGGGGACACGTCAAGGACAGAGGCTGTTGCCATTCTTCGCTCGGGCTCTTTCCGCGAATGTCTTATTCCGTCACCTTAGGAGGAAATTGATTTATCTCTCTTTTTCTCTCTCTCGTTGGCAAAAGCGTTTAGTTTCTCACCTGCTGTTTCCCCGATTTTCCTCCTGGGTGGGAGGAATTTAATCCATTTGCGAGCTGGAGGAAATAGGAGACATATTGGTGGGCTGGAGGCCAAAAGACACGGCATTTTAGAACGGAGAGTGGTTTCACCTCTTCTAAGGGAGGAATGGGAGACTCATAAGGCAAGGAGAGACACACACCCCCTTGGCTGAGAGAGTGTCGGGGACGTGGGTTTATTGCCGTAGCTCGTTAAGTCCACCGTTTATCCCTGGAAGGTCAGCCTGTCTTCCCAGCCGCGCATCATCATAAGCTGAGTCAACGGCTCCCGTCACTGCTATCTTGGATCCGATCCCAAGGTGGAAGCCGTCTGATCCCTTGCTTCCGATGCTGAAAACGCGTTGCTTGTTGCCATTGCATGTGTGTCAAGGTTCCAGCCCACTCTTTGCATCTTGGCATGCTGGCTTTCTAGGTGCAAGGCGGGCTTTGGAAACTAGGAAGGCATTCTAGCATGCAGTTCTTAACTTTTTGGTCCAAAGGGGTAAATCCATAGGAGTAAGTGGCTTGTGGCTTAAGGGGGTGCATATCTTGTTCCTGAATTTTTTGCTCATCTCTCCCTCTCAGTCTGCAAGCTGCCAGGGCAGTGCTGAGTACGTACACCGTTTCTATATCATCCTGGAGCTGTGATGAGTTGTGGCCCCAGCTGGGGTGAGACTAGATGACCTCTAGAGTGATTCTGTGATTGTTATGGTTCTGGGTACCTGTAGGAAGGAGTAAAGGGGAAATCTTGCCACTTTCACGTTTTTTTCACTGTTGAATTTTTTTAAAAAAAATCTCAAGTCCTTTCTATCCTCTCTATAGAGGAAATTTATGATTTTTAAAAATCATCTTCAAAACAAAAACTCAAGTGAAATTGGCATCCAGTTGGATAGAAGAGCTTTCTCCCTTTCTTGTTTTCTCCCTTAAGTCGCACTTCTCTTCTTCTCTAGAAGTGATGCGTAAATATCTCACCTGCTTAAGGTTTTTTTTGGGGGGGGGAGATTTTCAGGAGTAGTCAAGAAAGTAAAAAATGGAGCTGCTGGTGGAACGGACTTCAGGGGAAATTAAATGCAAACCGGCATTTATTTATTTTGATACAGGAAAAAAAGAGAGTTTGCAGTCATCTCAACAATATGGTTTCTGCCAGGGTGGATTTGATTTAAATCATAACTTAAATTGTTAAAAATTTCATTTTGGGATGATTTAAATTTTTAAAAAATCATTTTTATTTAAATTATGATTTCAATCAAAGTGATTTTTTGAAAAAATCTTTGATTTTTTAAAATCCACCCTGGTTTCATCTGATTTGACTGTGAGTGTTAGACAGGATAATAAAGAAGGTTTTGCCAGATAATAAGTAGGTCTTGAGAACTGTCCGCCACTGGAAACGACACAATTAGAATTGTATGGAAGGTTCTTTACTTTTTACCTTTTTGAGGCTTTTACCTTTACATTTTTAAAATTTTGCAGTTGAATAATCAGGGTTTTTTTATATACATGAGAAAGCAGTCTGTCAAGTTTGTTTTCCTCTTGCTCAGAGTTTGGAGAAGTTACTTTTAGAACCACAGCTCCTAGAAACTCCCACCAGCATGACTCCTAGGGGATTCTGGGAGTTGTAGTCCAAGCCCTTATTGGGCTAAACCAATTGCTGCATCTTCTGCATGTGTGAAGCAGTGGAGAGCTAAATTCAGTCTGCCTCTTTTTAAAGGCTAGGAAGCAGTTTCGTATGGAAGCTGTGGAGGCGTCGTTCCCCACCCCGTACCAGTTTTGTGATTTTTGTGTGTTGTTGCACACTTTGCACACACACAAAGCCAGGAGAGGTCGTAAAGAGCACGGATGCAAGTCCATTGCAGGGGTCGGTGGGGCGAAGAACTTGGAAACGCTTGATCAGATTTGAAAATAATAATACAGTAGCATGTTCTTTCCACAGGAGCTCGGCTCGACACACACACATGCGCACGCTTCTCCTGAAATGAAATATTAATCAGTTTAATATCTCTGCCCAGCCTCGGAGCGACCAAACTGGCTCGGCAAGCCGGGTTAGGGCTCAGTTTGGGAAAGGAAATGATGATGTAGAGCAGCTGGTCCGGCTCTCCAAGGCAGGAAACTTTCGAATTTTTTGAGGGCCACCCTTTTTTGTCTCGCCGCCGTTCGCTTGCCGTGCCCGAACATGTTGGAACGGGAGGGTTTGCCCCAAAGCGAGAGGCGGGCTTTTTCTGGGTCTTTTTTACAAGCTTTTTGCTCACTCTCCTGCCTTTGCAGCACCAAGAGCTTCGGAAGATCTCGGGGCAGGGGTGTGTGTTTTCCACCCTCGGCTCAGGCAGCGATCCAAAAATCCCACAGGTGCTATTGGGGCTGGTGCCCGAGCATGTCCTTGTGACGGCTGCACGTCACGGCGTAGTAGCGCTTTGCCACACCCCGTCTTCTCGGAGGAAAGAGTTGACCCGAGCCGGCAAAGGGGAGGCCTTCGTTGGCAAGAGGAAGCCTGGGGGGGGGAGAGCTAGGATGCGACCATGGATCCTGGCCCCGTGGATGCCGGGCACGTGGTAAGAGGCACCCCGGCGTGGCTCAGCTCGTGGCACAAAGGTGTTTGGTGTCGTTTGTCAGAGCCATTGTTGGAAGGAGGTGCGAAAGGGATGGATCGCGAGGCTGTTGGGGAGAGAGGATGGGCATCTCGTCCAGTTCCCAACCAGAGAGCAGAAAAGACTGAGTTTCATTGATTTTATTTCAATTATTTGTATGGGTATCCTCCTCAGGCTGAATTTGGGGCTCGCTTTAGATTGTGGATGTTGTTTGGAGGGACTGTTCTCGGGGGGGGGGGAGCCAGCTTGTGGCAAAAATGGGGCTGGAATGAGCTGCAAAGGAAGAGGACATTCAGGGCCCCCGTGAAGGAGAAAGCGGGTGAAAGCGTTCCGGGTGGACTTCCTCAGACTGAGCTGAGGTGGCTTATATAGGGGCTCCCAACCAATCAGACGAGGGGGGGGCGGTCCCTGGCTTGCCAATCAGGGCCTGAGAAGGCAACTGCCGTGCTGGTTGGGGCACTAGGCCTCCATCTTAGGCGTGGCGGCTCATACGGTCCTGTGCGGGATGCATTTCGGGGCGTCTCGCTGGCTCGGTTTGCCTTCCCTCTGAAATGTCTTCGGTAGGCTGGGATTTTAGACGAGAGCGCGGTAGGCCTCAACTTGCCTCCCTAAATTTTGCAAGGAAAAAAAAATCAATTTATCATTCTCTTTTAAGGGCACTGAGAGAAACCTAAAAATGAATGAATTTAAATCTCACCTTTTCCTTCCTCGGCATATGTGGCTTTCCCCACGGCTCCTGGCATCGTCCTCACAACAGCCCTGCGGTGTCTAAAGGAAACCCACTGATGGAGGGGAGGGAAGGATTGAGTTTCAGCCCTTTTGAAATTTCATCACATTTTCTTCTGGACATGGCTCTCTCTCTCTCTTGAGTCCTCTTTCATCTCTCTAACCATTATATGGTATTTCCTGGTTTAGGTCTCTGGACGCAGAGCCACCAGTTGGGGGGTTCGATTCCCCGCTGGGTCTCCTTGACAGGGGCTGGACTAGATGACCCACAGGGGCCCTTCCAGCTCCACAATTCTAAGTTGATGATGATTCGGGTTCTGAGTGGTTTTTTTGTCTCTCTTGAGTCCTCTTCCATCTCTCTAACCATTATATGGTATTTCATGGTTTAGGTCTCTGGACGCAGAGCCACCAGTTGGGGGGTTCGATTCCCCGCTGGGTCTCCTTGACAGGGGCTGGACTAGATGACCCACAGGGGCCCTTCCAGCTCCACAATTCTAAGTTGATGATGATTCGGGTTCTGAGTGGTTTTTTTGGTCTCACTTCTTCCAGCTCCACAATTCTAAGATGATTATGATTCAGGTTCTGAGTGGTTTTTTTTGTCTCACTTGGAGTTGACCCCTGAAAGTCTTTGAACTGGGGATGGTTTCCACGGGACCCATTTGATGAAAATCATAAAGGCAGTCCATCTGGCTTGTTGTGCCATGGAAATTTCTTTCCCTGTGTTCATCTCCTCTCATGTTTTTTTTTTCTGGGACATTCCTATTGCTGTACTTTCCTTTTTCTTTTTATTCCAATTTTGGTGTGTTTGTGACGTCCTCAACGGAAGGCGTCCACCATGTGAGATTTGTGTTATGGCCGCCATGCTGGATAGGGAATGATGGGAATTTCGGTGCAAAAAGGATAGCAAAAATAAAAGCAGAAGAGCTGTGACATCTTAATGATTTTTTAAATCTGATTGCGACGCTTTGCAAACCACAGTCCAATGCACTTTCTCAGACACATCGTTCCAGAGTGCATTGTGTTCTATAGATGCGTGCACTGAAATAAATTACTTCATCTTAAAGGTGCCAGACTCTGCTTTTATTTTTGCTGTTCGCGCTGAAACAGACTTGCAAGACTTAAAAAATCCACAAAAAAACACTTCTCCAGCCTCAAAATTTTAAGCAATAGATGAGCAGATGGTGGGTATTTCTGATACCATTTGCTGGCAGTTTTCCTCCCCCCCCAAAAAAAAATTGAAAAATAATTTAGTGACAGGTGTTTCTCAACCTTTGTAAGGGAGAAAAGAATGAAAGACATTGTCTCTTAATAATTGAATGTGCATTGAATTATCTTTTCTCTGGATTTTTCTCCCAGCTCCATAACATGAAGGGGCTAAATCTGCTTGAACATTGGACTTGACCCCTTCTCCTTGGTGTTTAGCAGGGCTGTAAGAGGAGATCAGTAGAACTGCTTTCCTGGTTTGACAGTAACCATAGTTTATTGTTATGTCTGAATTGTGGTTTGTTTAGAACTCCTCTCCCACACCCCTTGGTTTGGTGCCTCTTTTCCTTTGGCCTTACAGTAGCCATGCTGGTTGGCAGTTGTAGTCCAGCACATCTGGAGAGTAAGAGATTAACAAGCCAAAATCAAACAGTGCTTTCCGATCAGAACTGGGAGAATTTCCTTGCATTTTGATTTAATTCCCCCTCCCTGTTCTTTTTTTTTCCTGGATAGGTGTAGCCCTGTTCTCCTTCAAGTGATGTGTGGCAGGAGCTACGATGGTGGCTCTCAACCTCCCCCGCCTCCCATTTTCCCCATCTAAAATCCTGCCCCCAACATCTGTCAATGGACTTCAAAGGACCCTGCCTAGGGAGCTTTGCACACAGCTGTCTGCAAATATTTGGGCATGGGGTGAACTCATCAAGGCTGGTGTTAAAAGGGGGAATTGAGAAAATACGCTCCTGGGCCCTTCCTAAAACCACACACCAGGAAATGGAACAAAGCAGAAGCATTTCCCACATCAGGGTGTGCTCGCCAGAGACACAGATCCAGCTAGCGTGAATGGGTGAGGATCCCATGCTAGGGAAGGAAGGTAGCGGGTTGGTGGAGGGGAGGGAACAAAATCTGGCCGGCATCAGGATCCTGTCCCATCCTGGAATGCTGGTCTCCCCTTCCGTGTATCAGGTGTTCCCAGCTCCTGCCCTCTCCCCCCAGTCCCAAAAGGGCAGCCTGCCCCATAATTGGGAAAGTTGGCTTTTTTGGGGGGGGGGACTGCAACTCCCAGAATCCTCAAACCAACATGACCATTCCAGGCAGAGTATTATAGAAATTAACTTTTAAACGTCCCCCCCCCAAGTGTGGACAATCTGGGGGGCATGCCCAGCCCAGAGGGGATACCTTCCCCCCCCCACTCCTGCCATTTCTGGTCCTGGTGGGTTCTCCTCGGACAAGGTGAAACAGGGATGCAGGAGCCATCACCCTGAGCCTCGTAGGGCTTCTGAAAGCAGGAACCGGCTGTTCTGTTTTGAACCGAAGGGTTGGGGCTAGTGGAGCAGAGGAAGTGGTGAAGGGAGAGATGTTTATGTTGAAACCGTTCTAGGGCTTTCAGATCCTAATTTGCTGCAACGAGAGACTTTCTCTTCTTACTCCAGATGTCTTGACAGCTGTCCGTCTTTGTCCCACCCTGACTTGTCAGAATGTGGTGGAAACACATCCTTATGTGGTGGAGCACACCATGAGGAGTGGATGCTCTGTACACCTCTGTCAACCTGTCTCTTAAACTTCCTTGTCCTCCTCATTCTCAGTTCTAAGATGATGATGATGATGATGATGAAGAAGCCTGGGCTCAAGGGGACAGGGGCTGCTTTTTCCTTTTTTCATCATGATCATGATCATGATCATGATGAAGCCTGGGCTCAAGGGGACAGGTGCTGCTTTTTCCTTTTTAAAAAAAAATGCAATGCTTCCCTTGATATTTTCTATATATGATATTTTATTTATATATGTGCGGATCTATTGTTGTCTGTAGTGGATAGTATGATACAGTAGAACTCAGGAGGCCTGGGTTCGAATCCCCACTCAGCCTTGGAAGCGCACTGGGGAAGTGGAACTGGGGGAACCACCCCTTGAAAGCTTTATTAGTGTTGCTATAAGTCGACCCCGACTTGATGACACGTAAGATAATGTGTATCTGCTATAAGTCGACCCCGACTTGATGACACATAAGATAACGTGTATCATCATCAGCATCAGAGCTGGAACGGAACCTGTGGATCATCGAATCCGGCACCTGTCAACATCAGCATCTTAGAACGGCAGAGCTGGAACAGAACCTGTGGATCATCGAATCCGGCACCTATCAGGGAGACCCCGTAGGGAATTTCAAACTCCCAACCTCTGCCTCCACAGCCAGAGACTTAAACCACTGAGCTGTATTTGTGTGTGTGATGGCAAAGCTATAGACAACAAGGTATGGTTCAATAATGTGTGAACCCTTTCTACCTTGCATTTATTTTCACTTGGTATCCATGCTCAGCTAGCATCTCTCATATTCCAGTGTGCTTTAAATGGATCTACTTTTGAGGATGTCTCAGAAACTAAGGGGAAAAGTTCCTTTTGTTTTGGGAGCCATTGTCTTAAAAAGATAACGTTGCCACACTATGTTAGGACTGTCTAAAACCAAGAGCCGTCCTGTGTGGCTAGCTAGCAATTATGTGATCAAGCTTGACCCTAATTTCAAAAGGTGCCATTCCAGATCATGCACGACTTCGTGTTTTAGGATATTACGGCAATATTTCAACTCGGTTCTTCATCGGTTGAATTCTGGAAGTTTCACTTGGTTTAAAAAAAAACTTGCAAATGCAAAAGAGAGAGAGAGGGAGATAAACCGGTCCTGCTGAAGCAAGAAGCGTGCATCTTTCTAGTTATAGGATGCAAACATCTGTCGTTTCAGGCATCATAAGATGCCTTTGCCTTTTCAGAGTCTGAAGGAACGGGAAATGCTTCAGGGCGGTGAAATCCTCAATGTCCATACCTCCTGGCATTAAAAGTAATTTCAGGGGCACCTTAAAAAGTCACACCCTGCCATTTTAATAAAATGGGTACTTGTTATATACAAATCCCACCTTTCTTCCACTTGAGCCCAAGATGGCCTACGTGATGGTGTTCCCCGTTTTTATGACCTCACCTCAAACCTGCTGAGATGGCTTAGAGATTGTTTGGTTGGGAGTGGCCCAGCATCACCCAGTGAGCTTCAG